GTCAGTGCCCTGTGCAACGAGGCCCACATCACTAAACAGTACCTGGTGAGTTTCTAATACCAAAACAGTTAGCAGTCAGAACGTTTTTATCCTACTCCAAAACTGTCTCAGCGAACATTTTCTCCTTCCTGCCTGTAGGAGGAGTTGCGTCAATTTGCGGTTCTTCGGGAGGAAATGTTTCGTCCCAGCAGTTTCAGAACGTGTAACCTCCAGGGGTCGATGTCGCTGCTGCAGTCGGTGGACCAGAGGTCAGAGCAGAAGGCGGGGCCTCCTGCAGCTCCTGCCCCCTTCAGACGCTGGCTCCCGTCCATGACAGCCACTTCCAAGAGTGAGGGAATGTGTCTGCAGACCGCTGTGCTCGGCTGAGCCTCTGGTTCTGGTTCTGGTTCTGACTAGTTCTGGTTTTCCCTTAGGTCTGGCCTTCCCTTTGCTTCCTGCTAACCTGGCCTGGATCTTTGCCACCAGCCCTGTCTTCCTCTACCCAGAACTGCTCCCTGTGTGCAGCCTGGACCCTGCCGTCCACAGTCAGCACCACAGGAGCATCTACACTGCAGGAGAGGACGGGTACGTGGACACTGAAGGACTTTCATCCAGTTTGCCATCAGCTACGTTCCTGTTTAATCCCAAGATGCATCTGTGCAGGCTGATCGTTCTGGGTCTGAAGCACTTTGAGAGGGCGGTGCAGCCAGATCAGCTGATCAGCTCCTACCTGCTGTGCAAGGACCGATGGAGCGTCAGGAAGCACGTCAGGGAGATGAGCAGCAGGAAGGCTCCGGCCAGCAGCGTTATCAAGGTGACGTCATCTCAGTGGTGGTGAGATAGCTGTCGATAGGACGGGAGCTGACAGGAAATGACCAACGGTGGATCTTTTATTGACAGTTAGACAGGTGGAGGGGTTAGACAGGTGACTTTAAACTTCGTCTTCTTGTTGTGTTCCAGATGTTTCTGTCAAACGGCGTCGTTCCACCATTGCCTTTGGCCTGTGACAGAATTGACAGTAGAGACCAGCGCGCCCCAGTGGACAGAAATGTGCCTAACATGCCCAACTGGCTGAAGGTTCTAATTTTTTTTTTATGTAGTGTTCTAAATCACCTGTCACACACCGGGTGTTCTGTGTGTGACATTGGTTCTGATCTTTTCTCCTGTAGAACAGTCAACCCATCATCCAGAAAACTCGACAGGGCTCCGCACCCTACCCTCCCTCCCTCCCTGCAGGCTGCAACCTCAGGCTCCACCCCTCTTACAAGACATGTCGCCAAACACGTCCCAAGCAGAAACGCCTGTTCACGCTCGCCCATAATGCAACTCTGCTGCCGCTAGCCAAAGCCCCAGCAGACGGGAAGGAGGACGTTCAGGTGGAGAGACAGGTTGACATGGACTCAGAAGGTCTTCTGGTGCCCCCTCCCTCCGTCTTTTGTCCCTCCCCCCTGGTTGATGACATCACTCAGACTTTTCCCAGACAACAGCAGCCCCACCTGTTGCTTCCCCTCCCTGAACTCACAGCTCCCCTCACGCCTTGCCCTGCCACCACCACAAATCCCGGCTACCTGCTTCTCCAGGTGGTGACCCCCCCCGCTATATCTACTGCCCAATCCCAGCATGCTTTGGGGCCAGACTTTTCCAGACCCATCCCTGACATACCCCCCTGCCCCAGGAGAAAGGAAAACAAACAGGACAATCGTCAGACTGTCGTCGGTGTGGCCACCTTACAGGGTGAGGAGGGAGGAGACAGCCCACAGGAAGGGGGCAGAAAGGAGGTGGAGGAAGGAGGGGTGGAGAGGGGAGAGGCAAAAGAGGATGTCAGGGGGGAAAGTAGGAAGAAAGAGGAAGGAGAGGGGGAGATAGGAGGGGAGAGAGGGGAAGAAGGAGAAGGTGAGGGAGGACAGACGGGGAATGAAAGAAGTGGAGTGGATATTGATGAGCAGGAGGATGGGGGAGAAAGTGAGAAGGAGGAGGAAGGAGGAGGATACAGAGAGAAAGAGGACGGAGAAGGAGAAAGAAGGGGGGACAGTGTGGGTGAGGGCGGAGAGGACGGGAGAGAAGAAAGTGGGGAAAACCAGGACAGAGGGGGGGATAAGAGGGAGGACGAAGAGGAGAAAGGAGAGAGGGGTGAGGAGGAAGAGGAGGGAGAGAAGGACAAGGAAGACGATCAGGGGGAGGAGGAGGAGGAAGAAGAGGAGGAGGAAGACTTTGACGACCTCACTCAAGATGAAGACGAGGAGGAAGTGATGTCATCAGCATCAGAGGAATCCATGCTGTCTGTTCCTGAGTTACAGGTAAATGTGCAGCAGGTTTGAGTGATGAAGAGGGGTGACGGTGAGGAGAGAGAGAGAGAGAGCGCTGGTTAAACAGAGAGGTCATGTAGGGAAGTGGTTCTCAATTCATTTCTGTCTGCCCCATGGGGGCAAAAACTTTCACGCTCGTCATTTCTGTCATGCCCCCTCTGTCTGCTCCTTGGGGGCAAAAACTTTCACGCCCTCCATCATCATTTCTGTCATGCCCCCTCTGTCTGCCCCTTGGGGGCAAAAACCTTCACGCCCTCAGACCCACACGAATTGAAATACTATTGAGAACCTGAAAACATGTTCAATTTAATCTGTACAAACCACTGTATGAGTTGCTGCCACCTAGTGACTGGAGGCTTGTTATCATTCAAGCGTTACAGCAGTGGTAACACTTAGGTCCAACGTGCCATATTCCCCTCACAATTTGAATGTAAATATATCAGAAAATACACCGATGGAATATGTGAAGGTGTCCACAGTAGTTATCGTTGACCTTTGTCCTTCCAGGAAACACTGAAGCAGCTGACCTGGCTGGCCTCCGAACGACGACTCGGTGCAGAAGGAGACTCCGAGGAGGAACATTCTCAAACCTCCCCTGGTTCTCAGGAAGAGGAAGACGAGGAGGAGGAAGAAGAGGGACCAAAGGGGGAGGGGCTAGTAGAGGGGAGGTCTGATAAGATGGGAGAAGAAGAGGAGATGCCTTCAGAAGAAGGGACGCCGAGAGGAGGGGGAGGAGGAGTGAGGTGTCCAGGCCGTGGTCGAGGTCAGGCGTCACCTGGTTTTGTTGTTGTGGTCGACTGTCTCCTGCTTCCTTCTAACCTCTGAGTCTCCGCAGGCCGTGGTCGAGGTCAGCCGGAGGTCAGCCTGCGGCGCAGCCGTCAGGAGCGTCGCAGCAAAGACACGGCCAAACTGCTGCTGCTGTTCGACGACAACATCCTAGACAATGACCCGCAACGAGAGAGCAAAGACGCAGCCTTCGCTCACAGTTACCTGAGTAGGGTGGGTTCATCAGGGCGAGGCAGACGGGCTGGGCGGGGCCCACTTCCTGTGACAGAGGGCAGCGTGTGACTGTGGTGATCCTGTGTCTGGACAGGTGCGTGAGGCGCTGCAGGAAACGCCGGAGCAGGTGGAGGAATTTGTGGCTCTCCTGAAGGAGTTTGAACATGTGGATGACGGAGAGGAGGTGGTGCTAATGTTCAGGAAGCTGCGCTGCATCCTGGGAGAGCGGACCGACCTTCTCCGTGACTTTGCAGCGTTCCTGCACCCCGAGCAGGCGCTGCAGTGTGGGCTGGTGAGTTGGAGCAACACCTGATGAACGTCAGGAGAAACTGATCTTCATGTTGTGTTGGGTTTTGGGGGCAGAGGGTGTAAAATGATCGATGATCAAGGAGCCTGTGTTTGTGTGTACAGTTGGAGGAGCAGCAGGCCTTCGAACGAAGTCGGCGTTTCTTGCGACAGTTGGAGATCAGCTTTGGAGATAATCCATCCCATTATCAAAAAATCATCAAAGCTCTTCAGACCAGTCCAGAGCTCAGTCCCAGCAGCATCCACGAGGTACGCACCGATCAATACCACCTGATCAGTGATCTGTCGCTGGTCAGTCGGTGAGGACTTTTTTCTGATTGGTTCTCTCACCCTGTCATCAGCTGAAGTCTCAGATGGCAACACTGCTTAAAGGCCACACCCATCTCCAGACAGAATTTGGGGTGTTTTTGGATGACCTCCGCCCACCCGCTGCTTGTCAGGAACAGTTTGAAGAAGCTCATTGGCCAGAGGAGGGAGGGGCTGGGTCGGATGTCGATGCCATCAGTCAGATTATTGGAGGTGGGTCTGGTGGAGGCTTCGAGGAGGTGACACTCCCAGACCTGGAAGACGAAGAGGAGGGCCCAAAAATCCAACCTGTGCCGAGTCGACGCCAGAGGCGGAAGATGGACGTGCGGAGGAGCAACAAGGTTTGTAATTGGTCAGGAGGAGAAATTAACTGAGCTATGATTGGTCAGAGAGCGTCTCACACATGTCGTGATTGGCCAGAAAGTTGTGTCAGTCTGTATGTTCTGTTGTAGCAGGACTGTGATTGGTTAGACTGCTCTGGTCTGGAGTCGAAGATTCGCAGACACAGGAGGAAAGGATGTTCTCACAAGGTCAGTCCTGACGGTTTCCTCTGAGGTTATTTGGCGTCAGGTCACATGGTCGACTCATCTGCGCTGTCTTTCCTCCAGACACCAGGGGGCATGTCTAAAGCCTCGCACATAAACTCCGCCCACAGAGAGCCAGGTGACAAGTATCAGGAGCACAAAGACACAGATGGCAGCAATGCACTCTGGGAGGCCTCAGAACGCATGCTTGAAGAAAAAGAGGAGGGACTGGATGATGAGGAAGAGGAGGAGGAAGAAGATGAGGAGGAGAGAAGGACAGCGCCTGCAGTGAAGAGGAGCAGGAGGGAGGAGGCACCGCAGCCCTGTGTCTCCCCCACGTCCTCACCCTCAGACCCCACACTCACCTATGTGAATCCAGCAGCTTCACCTGTAAACCCCGCCCCTTCTTCTGTCCATCATGTGTCCCCAACAAGTTGTGTCTCCCCACCAGTGAACTCCTCCTCATCTTCCATGAACCCCAGCCCATCCATTTCTCAGCCGATCTCAGTAGAGCCCACTCCTACCCCTGTTGACCCTGGCTCTGACAGCTCCTCCTCTGCTCCTCCTGACACCTCAGTCTGTGCAAAGAACATTTCACTAACGGCGAGTGGAGAGAAAGTGATACTGTGGACCAGGTGTGTGTGTGTGTTCAGAGTTGTGGACCAGGTGTGTGTGTGTGTGTGTCTCTATTTCAGTGCTGAACTGTAACTAGTTGCCCTCAGTGGGTGGAGCTTAACACTTTTTTTTTTCTCCAGAGAAGCTGACCGCGTTATCCTGACCACATGTCAGCAAGAAGGAGCCAATCAGAATACATTTCAGTCAGTCTCTAATCTGCTTGGCAACAAGACACCCAGTGAGGTGATTAACAGCTGAGGTTCCCTTTCTGATTGGTTGATTTTCATCCACAAGCGTGTTGAAACTGACTCCTCCTCCTTCTCTGTCCAGGTGTCTCAAAGGTTTCGCGATCTGATGCTTTTGTTCCGATCTTCGGCCCGACAGACCAGCTGTGAGGACGAGGCTCCGCCCACGGAGCCATGAAGCAGCCAAAGAGGAGGCAGAAGCCCGACGTGAACTAGTCGGGTCACAGATCAAAGTGTAAAAAGTTCTCTGTAAAAAGTGTAAATATAAAAACATTTTTATAAAATAAAAAGGTTGATATGAGTAAAACAAGAGTTTGGATCTAAATCAGAACAACTTGATTCAGTCCTGTTCACTTCATTTTTATTAAAAAACTTCATTTCACATTATCAAAGTATACATTTCTTTTTTAGACTTTTGTAAAAACTATAGTAAAACTAAATACTACACAAATATAGATTTGTGATGTTGCTCGGATGCTATAACATTTAGACGTTGCTTGAGAAACAGACATTTGAAAAAGTTCATCTTAAAGTGTGATCTAAAAAAAAGAATAGATTAATGATCATCCCCAGAACCTCTGTCTGCCTTGGGGCGGAGTCGACGTCTTTTCAGGCATCATTGGTTGGTTGAAGATCGAGCCTTCCACTGTGAAGATGAAGTAAATGTTTGCGACCATCATGGCGAGACTTGGCAGGAAGGAAAGTCCGAAACCAAACCCACGTATGCTGCTCCCAAAAGCAGCGGCCACCCAGTACACCAGCCTGGAGACACGAAACAAACACGCCTTTAATCCGCAGTTCAATCCAGTCAAACATTCTTTTACTCCCGTCTTGTACATCATACTGCAAAGACAAAACGCTCCTTCGATCTTCGGCGTTACTGACCTTCCCAGGGCGAAGACAATAGTCAGCAGGGGGATGAGCTTCAGCTGTTCCTGTCCCAGATACATCGACAGGACAACCAGGTGCAAGAAGTAGATCAGGAACAACGATGCAGAGTCGGAGACAAAACGACGATGGACTGTGACCTCGTGAAGCTCCGCCCCCTTTACATCATCAAGCAAAGGCTTCAATGAACCAGAGCGAAGACGGATGACGCCAAGGACCAGCCAACCTGACAGAGAGAGAGACAGAGAGGGACATGGGGGTGATGGTGATGACACTTGATGAGAGACAAGTGAAGAGAAGCATGAAACAAATCACGGTCCTCACCCAGGAGGATGGGTGTGGCAGCAAACACAGAGCAGCGCAGTGTGTAGACCAGTCTTAAGGGGGCGTCGTCTAGCACGGGGGCATCAAACGGCAGGAACACGAAACCACCCCACACCAGAAAGGGGAAGAAGAGTGCTGATGTCACCAAGGACACGCACACCTTCAGGACATCTCTGCCGGGACAGCACCGTCCACCTAGGACAGAAAGACAGACTTAATCTCCGCCCCCTGTTCTCACCTCCAACCTCAGCTGAGACGTCGCTAAACATTTGTTACATTTGGTCGAGGGCGTGTCCTCCATCCACTCATACTGTTGGCCATGTTGGTCCAGGAAGGGATTCTTCTCTGATTCCCCTTCCCAGAGTCCTTCACTCTGTTTGGTCGCTGCTGGATAAAACACTTGAGCTGCTTTTTCTGGAAGCTCGTTCTCTTCAGGTTCATCTGGGTGGGTCTTTAGCCCCGCCCATGACTGTCTGGCCCTCTCCACCATGAGATCACTCTCTGTCCAACTGTTTTCTGGTCCACTTTGTCCACTTCCTGTTTGTCCACTTGGCTGTCCATTACCTATCTGTCCTGATGGTCCTTCGGTCTCTTCACCTGTCTGTCCTCCTTCAGTCTGTCTATGTGCAGGCCACAAGAGGTTGCTGTCGTTTTCTGTCCTCATTGTATTCTTTCTGTCAAAATAAATTAAATTATCAACCAGTTTTTAAATGGATAAGAAAATACTTTGTCAGAGTTACACACAGTTAAATTTTAGAAATCATAATTAAGGTGAGAAATAAGGACAGGACAAAGTCAGGAGAGTGTGGGAAAAACTGGAAAAAAAGTATTATAAAGAATGTTGATGATATGATATTTGCTTGTTTTAAATTGAAAAAAAGGAAGTATTATTTTGTTAAGCTACAAAATAAATATTTTTTTATATTTGCTTGTTTTAAATTGAAAAAAAAGGAAGTATTATTTTTGTTAAGCTACAAAAATAAATATATTTTTTAAAACATATTTTAAATTAAGTTTTCAAAAACAAGTTACAAAATCAAATTTTTAACAAACTCTTTAATTTTATTCCGAAAACGATGAATACAGACCTTGTCTTTCATATTTGTTTCTCTGTATTGTCTGGTTTCTGTGATAGGTAAAGCTGATCACGTGACTTACACAGTCTACAGGTGCAGCGGTGACGTCATCGATTAAAATGGCTTCGAAATAAAAAAAATCGTATTTAACTGTTTGTATAATTTCAATACACTGGAGTAGGGGGGATATTATAACTCCATTGACGTCACAGAAATAGACTGGATATGGTACCTGTTGACAGAAGGACTATTCGCTCCATACTAACTGCTGCTAACACGCTAAAGTTAGCTAAAGTATTAAAAACAAGAGAGCACGTCAATAATAATAAAGAGGAAATAATAACCTAAAACTGACCAACGCTATGTGTATTTTCGTCTTGATCTTTCTCTTACCTCCTGATTTGTTCTCTCTTTCCACTTCTTCTGCGCTTTTGTTGTTGTTGTAAATCCTGTGAAACAACCCGGAAGTGTCGCGCAGGTGAGGTTTTGCGTAACAAGTGAATGGCAGGTGAACGATTTGTTAAAAGTTACAAGTTAGAATTTGCGGTACACTCAATTTTAATTTTTAGATTTTTTTTTTGTTAATTCTGATTTGGTCTACAGACGATTTAGCATTTTTAATCGGAAATTATTTGTATTTATTTTTTCTAAATTAAAATGTGTGATGACGTGATAAATCTTCACGAACGGTAGTACACAAAAAAACCAGCAGGTGGGAGTAGTTGTGTGAATGGTGGTGGGTTGTACAACTGTATGACGTATTTTCTTCCTGCGTGGTCAGTGTTGTGTTGGAACAGCTGGTTGTCATGGCAACAGTTGTACCAGTCAGTTCCTAACAGGCAGAAGTTGCTGAAAACACACTTTCTGCTGCAGCACCGGTGAAACTTAAATTTGTTTGTTTTTTTAAAAAGCATCCGTTTTTTCTTTAGTTTGATTAGTCTGGATCTGAAGACGATGAAGAAAAGAAGGAAGGAAGGAAGGAAGAAAGGAAGGAAGAAAGAAAGAAGGGAAGGAAGGAATTTCTTGATGAGCAGGATGGTAATAAAAGGGTAAAACACATCAGTGATGACGTGTGACATGATCTCTGTCAATGTAACAAACCAACAGCCCAAATAGCGTATTTGTGAATACAGCTCTGAGTGGAGTACTGAATGTGTATTAAATAAATACATTAAAAATAACTGAAAACTGACCAATCACTATATTTGTATTTTAATTAAACTCCGTCTGTTTTCAGAGTAATCCGTAATAATTGCAGTAACTGCCGAAATCCGATTACTGCCTCTCTGTTAGAAACTTTCAGCAGGTTTGCGTCAGATTTACACCCATAAACACCGGTTGTATGCGGGGCGGGCGGTGTCGAGGTATGAAACTCGATCCTCCTTGGTCTCACGTGAGTCACGTGTGCGGTCGCTACTCTCTTATTGGCTCAATAACGTCACGTGCTAGACTGACACGTTGTCATAGAGACTGACCCCGCCCCCATACCGCAGCCAGTGCCTTATGGTGTTTAAAGCAAACACTCCTTACCAGATGCCGGTGGGTGGGGCTTATTGGAAGCACTGTGAGGTCATTAGCGCAGCTCGGCAGCAGCGCGCTGACTTGTGATTGGTCAGAAGTACAGAGCGTGGCTGTCACTCACCTAAGGTCCGCCTCTACGCTTCTCAGACTGAAAAGTGGAGCGGAACCGAATTCGCGGTCCCGAACCTGAGTGTGGATTAATGTCTGACTAATTAAGTGGTCAATCAATGATTGAACATAGAAATCGATGAGCGACTGATCGAGTAAAACAAGAGTGTGTTCGTTTTCTGAAAGGGGATGTCCCGGAGACAGGACAGGATGAAGGAAACCAACCTGAAGGTAAGAAAGAAATTGAATAAAGAAAGAAACATGCTCCTGTCGTGTGTACGCGCATTTTACCAAACCGTACACGTGATCGAACACTGTTCGAACCCCGTCGGGGTAACGGGGCTGGAAACAGAGGTGCTTTGTTGGAACCAGAATCACTTTTTCGTTGCGGTCTTTGTCTGCGCGCTCACATCTGGAAAATCGTTTATTCCGTTAGTTCACAGACTGATCGATGCTCAGTAACCGGTCACTGGTCGATCAGTATTGATCGGTGTTAGATTTGTGTGTGTGGTGTTGGTGTCTGACGTTTGGAAGAAGTTTCAGCAGAACGGAAACGTTTTTTTTACTCCTGATTGACAACGTTGTAAAGTCTATCGTGTGTGTGTGTGTGGGGGGGGGGGGGGCTGTGTTCGTGCGTGTGTTTATTTTGTGAGTTTGCGTGAAGGTGTGTGTGTGTGTATGTATATCTGTCTGTGTCCGTTAGAAGCAGCGTGGCCGCTTTGTCCTGCAGGAGGAAGCAGAGGGGGAGGGGAGCGTCTGTGTGTGTGTGTGTGTGTGTGTGTTTGGTCATACAGGAAGTATATTGCGGTTGTCTGACCTCTGAGTACCGTAGGGTGTTTTTTTTTTTTTTTTTTTTTTTCTTTTGTGAAAAAT